GTATATGATAGTGTGATGGTGTCAATTCCTCTCATGGCAGGATCCTTGGCGAAATCTGGATCAATAAAGAAGAAGACAGGCATATCAACAGTTTCTCCAGCATTCAGTCTCTGTTCCTCAAAGCAGAAACATTGAATCTTGCTGAAATATGGCGAAACCTGAGCTGGAGTCACACTATATGTTGCAACGCCGATGATATCCTGGTCACCTTTATTCGAAGCGGTATAAAAGGCCAATGCCGTTTCTCCGGGAAGAACTCGCACTTCTCGCTGCTGGGGAGTGAATTTCCAGGGCAAAACATCGGATACGGAAGCATTGAATGTTATTCGAAGACGGCGAGAGTCTGTGACGGGAGTAACGCGAGACCCCGTATCGGTGTTTGTGAGATGTGTTGAGACAGGTTGCCCATTCCAGCCGGTTTGTTGGCATATCTGGAGAGTTAAATATGGTAAGCATCGACTGAGAACGGGCAGGTCGAGGCCGTCAAACCATTTTATACATGGGCACAGAGCCATATGCGACTGCAAGAGTTCCGATGATGATGCTAATTGTATAGTACCTAAAGAAGAGAAACATATTAATATATAAACTCAAGGAAATGTATAGCTTCCCACTTACATTGTAGATGTATTCTTGCTATCCCATTTCAAGTTCCGCGGGCTGGCTGGAGCCGTTTGCTGCCGCAACGGAGTTTGAGTAGCAAAGCCTCGAGTCGGTATTCGGCATCTTGACATCCCAGCCGTCTTGATTGCATTTGCAGCGCGTATGCCGACTGCTGGCCGAGCCCATAGTGACATTAACCGTTCCATTGCAAGCTATGTGGCCGGCTTCAATTAAACATGTCGACGCTGCAGCATCTCAGCCGATGTTGGTTTCACTCAAGCTATGTGCTTATGTAATCTATATTATAACCGGCGTTTAGCTAGCGCCGAATCGCTATAAGCGACGAACCGCGAGTCTATGCTCTTTGGACATTATATATATTTATTACATTTGTTACATTTATTTCGCACTTATACAAACCTCAGTCATGATCTCTGGATGCACTATATGTGACTTTCTTGACGAGGTTTGATGCCTACCCTAACTTGAGTAACTACCCAGGTGATCATTTATCCTCGTCAAAGTCATCAACTGGCCAGAGCAAATGTTTCTCGGTCGTCTCGGTCGTCTCTTGGTTATGTTTGTTATCCGAGGCTGAAGCAGTTACCATCTCCTTGAATTCTTTTGCTCTTGCAACTGCGTCATCAATTTCCCCACGGTAGCCTGCGTGGCTGAATGTTTTCTGCTTTAATATATGGCTTGGGTATCAACTAAAAGCGATACAGTGACGTGGGTTAAAGTGGTTTGTAATTCCAATGTATTAAAAGTGTAAGTGTTGCATTCGAAACTGCTCAAGTGCAGCAGAACGTTCATCAGGGCTCATTCACCAGAGTATCTGGTAACTTAGGTGAATGGTTCCTCATCCCCGTGGTTCCGAATAAAATATGTAAGCCCCCTGCCAGGAAAATGGGAAGTGCAGAAGAGGGTTGCCAGTCTATCAGATCAAAAATGGCGAGGTCACAAAGATGTTATCCGATTAGAGATCAGGATGGCACAGTATCGGCCTATGTAGATCTTGTCCTGAAGGACAAGGTAAAGCACGAGTTTTCAAGTACTTCTTAAGTGTTTCAGCATACCCTTCAGCCTCCCATGTTTGATAATTGGTAGCTTAGTTACCTTGTATGCTCGTTCTAATGGATAACATGGTTTGGCGTGCGGTTTCAGCCATGCTAATTCTTTCTTTGTCACAGTCTCCATACACTGGGCAGCACTCAGGTCTGAGATAGTTGTAAATCAGTTAGAACACTTCGTCTGGGTATTATAGTTAATATGACCTGGAAATGAATTACGCGGACGACGATCGATGCCCTGAATCAGAGATCTCTCCGCATACTCGACTTCCAAGATACGTTCGGTCCAACGTAGGTTTCCGGTCGAGCGGAGGCATCGTTGCCCGAGACACGTAACTAACTATACAGCGGTATTATTCAAATCCGGGGTAGATCACGACTGTAATATATGCTACCCGAGGCGGGGGGGTGGATGGTAAAGAACAACCTGGCCTCAGGTTGGACCAAGCCCCTCCTCTTAACCGTTGCTTTTCTGAAATAATATGCCATGAATTCCAGAGGCTCCATTGAAGCTCTCCATGTACATAAATGTATTTGGCTCCCACAGAATTATCGGCATCAGCAGACTAGACAAGGAGTCGCGGCACAACAATGCCATGAGAGCGAAGCAGGTCCAACGTCGCAACTTCGCTCACAACAGCAAGGCGTTCGGGGCTTTATAAGGGTATGGAAGCCGGGCGAGAATCCAAGTGTCGTCGTCATTGCATCGTGACTTCAAAGACACTGTCAAATCCGCCCTCCGTGAATGTGTGAAGCTTTTGGTATCAGATTCATGCCGGCTGACAGAAGCAGCGCTGCACTGTCTATTCATGAGACACTGACAAGCACCGGCCAGTACTCAGACCAGTCACGACCCATTTCATCTGGCTTGATCACCGTCCCAACAGCTGCGCAGGAGCTAACGGAGCGCGTTCCAACTGCCTACTGGCAGATGGCGCTCGGGATAGTCCAATAAAACATGTCCACGCCACGAAAAGGGCCAGCCTCGCATTAGAGCAGTTCCTGCTTGCAGCCCTCCCATACTTGTCTCGCTTATTACCCCTCGAGACCTAAAGACATACTGTTGGTCGCAGCTCTCCTTGATCCTATAGAGAGCACGGCGCCTGTACTCCGTACTCCGTTACTACTAACATTTGCATTACTAACAACCAACTAGTTAGTTATTTCACTAGTTAACTTATTGATCTGCAATCGGCGGCTGGTTCACCACGAAATACGGAGTACCACTAGCATAACTAATCGATAGAGGCTTTATAATGTATTGCAGCTAATTTTATACAAGCACGGTCGTCCCCTGGGTGATGCTATTGATGAAAAAATTTACCAGCTCGGCGTAGTGACCGGGTGGTAGCTCTGTTTATTCGCACGCAAAATCTCCTTGCCAAAACATACTAAATTGGCAGCCTTTGACCCTTGGGTGAAAATGATGCACTCGCTGTTCCATTATTGGTCTTAAACGGGTTTTAGTTAAGTATATACTTGCTTCAGAGAAACATTACTAAGTAAGGGCTTTTCCGCGAGTTAAAGCTCTGTCTGGTCAAAGTTCCCCTGCGTCTGGGAGGCTTGGGTGTCCCGCAACCTTGCCCTTGCAATTTACACAAGCTCAATATGGATGGCAGAGTAGAAGGTTCCCCTAAACATATCTCCAACCTAGCCTATAGCATCATTTGTATAACTAAACACCGAATTCTAGGCTCAGCAAGGGCCCCGTAAAATAAAGGGCGAGTTAAGTGGGGGTAGGACAGGGTTAGTGGTAAGACTTGAGCAATGCCCCTTAAGTGTCAAAACCAGGATATGAGCATTATATTGGTTGCATGAAATAGAGAAGCCATGCAGACAGCATTGTGTTGAACCCCCAAAAAGATAATTTTCAATAGTAAAACGTAAATTCCAAAAGAGTGCTTCTCAAGGTTCCCATTATATATGTGCATGTGTAACTATGTATTAAAAGAATGTGCGTAATAAAACAATTTTTGAGTTCATGATGACTCCAGACGGTTACCCAGCGCGTCAAGCAGATCAGTAATCAGAAGCGTTCAACCTCACTGAAGCTACGCCTCGTCCCTGAACTGGGGTCAAACGACTGGGAGGATGTGCCTTGAAGCACCCTAGGCAATGAAAAGTGCATTTCCATGGCCACCCTTCCACAGCGTCACCGTAGCAGAGCTTACCCTGCCGTCATACCCTCACAAAATTTCCATTACCGTAAGAGTTCAACTCTACGTGATGGAATTTATTGCGCTGGGCGGTACCAGTTGGCCTGGGGGTCTCCCAAACACTCACCAACAGTCACAGCTAAATTGTTAAAATGTTAGCTTGGATCATTCAACCTATGGACGAAACAGGGAAACGACGTACCTCTCAAACCTCTCTTTTTGATCTCATCCAAGAGCTGCTGGATCAAGAGCTCAACAGTAGTCTGGTGGACGTCGTGGCAGAGGGTGATAGTGCCACCGGCCTCGAGACCCTTCTTGAAGTTTTCAACACTGATCGGCACACCGTCAGGAGTGGCATGCTCGTAGTCTTTGGTGTCAATGTTGGCATCAATCATGTGGTACTTGAGTTCAGCCATGGTCTTGGAGACAGTATCGCTGTAGGCGAAGTATGGAGCACGCATATAAGTTGGTCTGTTTCCATCAATGATGGGAGCAAGGATATCGTCAAGCTTCTTCATCTCAAGGGCGATTCCAGTAGAGTTGAGCTTAGAGAGATCGGCATGAGAATAACTATAGTAGATGTTATCAGCGATTGAGTTCGCCCATTGGAAAATCAACTGACGGGTAAAACTTACGTGTGAGAACCAAGCATATGACCTTCCTTGTACATGCGCTTGATAACATCGGCATAGTCCATGATGTTTCCAAAGTTCATGGCGTTGACGAAGAAAGTACCCTTAGCACCATTCTTGGCGAAGATATCAAGAAGAGGCCCGGTGTAGTCGTATGGGCCATCGTCAAAGGTGAGAGCAATGGTGCCATTAACAGTACATTGGTTAATGACGGTTCCGAATGGGATAGTGCCAGGCATGGGGGGAACGCCTGTTGGTACTCCAGTTGGGACACTGGTGCCGGTAGGAGCTACAGTCGGATCAGCAGTTGGCGTCATTGATGGGAACGTGGTTGGAACGTCTGTCGGGACAACTGTTGGCTCAACGGTTGGAGTGGTGTCTGGTGGGTAGGTTCCGCTTGGCTCCGTTGGGGGAACTGTTGTAGGTTCTGGAGCCATAGTTGGAACTGCAGTCGGCTCTGGCTCTGGCTTTGGCCAGTGTGGTTTTGGCCAGTGTGGCTTTGGGAATGGCCAGTGTGGCCTGGGACGGTGCGGTCTGGGACGGTGTGGATGCCATGGCCACCTACCAGGAGTGCGCTCAATAATAGAATTGGATTGCTGTCCTTGCAGCGGAATAGCCGCTACGCAGCAAGCGAGTGCAGCTGTGATGAAGAGAGTGAAGAGCCGGCACAGCATTTTGTCTGTGTATAAGAGTGATATATATACAATACCCCCAGAAGTATGTAATAGAAGAGATAATGAACGAGAGGGAGTGATCGATCAACGAATGCAAGTAAAAACGAGAGTATGGTATGCACCAAACGAATGTAAATGCTATAGACAAGAGAGCTAAAGGTCTATAACATCGAAATGGTGGTTATATAGAAGTAGGTATCAGGGGGATGGTCCCTCGGGTTATATATCTCTGACCGGCCCTGGACGGTACCTTGCTTGACCGGACAAGGCGCGAGGACGTCGCACGTCAGAGATAGACAGATCTCGGTCTCCGCCTGGATCGATCGACTAAGGCCGGAGCCATGCTTTTTTTGGTCGAAATGCAAGGGGAATGCCGGTCCAACTTTTCGGACACGAGCGTGCCTTGCAGTGCTTGGGCAGACGGATGGAGCTTCAGATGCTTGGCCACCGCCAACTGAATGGCCACCGCACCAGATTTTTAGCGATCAAGAATAGAGCAGATCACACAAAAAAATGTGAATGCTAACTAGTTACTCGTGTACTCTGTACGAAGGACTTGGGACCGAGCCTCTTGCGGCTCATTGTATCGGTCTTGTTTCAAGAAAAGTGATAGGAGGGTATCATCATCACATCATACTGCAAATCGAACTCAATTGCACGACACTGGGTATGGAGTACTGCTATTCCATCTAATGGAATATCAAATTGAACATGTTAGATCCTCGCGATCGAGATGGCTGAGTGGGGGATTCCGGGTGGACGAACAGAGGGCCAGGGCAACCAACCGTCCAGTCCTCCTGGCTAGATCCGACGCTAGTTAGCATGATACCAGAGAAAAAGACTTTCTTTTCCTGGGTAAATTGTGACCGATCGCTCGTCATGAACCAGTCCTGGAATCTGCCAGGACAGGGTCAAGCAGTCGTACATACTGCAGGGAGGGCTTGCCACCTCCAGACTTACCCAAGGCACCATCGCAACAGAATGTTTTGTCAGGAACTGCTTCAGGATGAGAATATCTTTTCCGTATCTGACTGGAGGGCAGTGTAGGGCAGTCTGGCAAGCAGACGAAAAAATCAGTGACGTTTCAGAAAACGAGCTAGTTTGATGGGTCCCTGACATCGCGACAGACTTTTAGGTCGATCCCCATCTTTAGGTCCCGCCGCCAAACTGGAGAATTGCCCAACCAAATGCGCGGGAAATCACATTTGAATTTTCTGGTTGGCTGGAGCCTTTGAGATGGCGATTACCAGGCTCAACAGCCGACTGATTCCATACGCCTCCATCGGAGTGGCGGCATCGAGAACCCGCGATAATCGCCCTGGACGCTTCGAGAAAAGGGAGGAGAGAGAGAAAGGGGGGGGAACGTTTCGATGAAACATCGATATGCAAAGCTCTGCGGAGGAGAGAAACAAGCTCGACGCTGAAGCACTGGGGGGTTCCCCGTCGTACTTACATTCCTCTTTCGACTCGGCTCCATATCGGAAAGTCGGCATAACTACGTGAAACGTCCTTGGCTAGCTAGTTGGCAGCAGACATGCAAGGTCGTTTTGGGGCATGGACTTGACTCGACTTCTTCGCCTGTGTGCCAACATTTGTTATGACGAGGACGACGCGGGATGCGAGCTCACTAGTTGCTCAGAAAAGAAAGTCGAAATGTGTGACGAGATGCATGAAAATGTTGTGCCTGTTGGACCAGCTCATGGTCAATGCCAGCCGGTACCTTGCATAAAGGCTGACAATCAGTTATGCAATCCTTGTCGGCCACATACTTCCGTCGTTTATTTGGAGCTTAACTCCGAGCTCCGTGGAAAAGGGGGTCCTAAAAATATAAGCGAGGTGGACTCGAATGAGATAAATCCCCCCTTGGCAGGGATGCATAGAATGATTTTGTTAGCCACAAGTCGCCTTGTGAGTGGCCACTGAGTCGCGGAGTGTGGAATACGAGACGTCTCTTCCACGTTTGTCTTTAGCGTGAAACAAGCATCTTCATGGATACGTCGACCTCTGATTCCACGTTTTTCGCTGAAGCTCTTGAGCTGTCGAGCATTACTATACTGACATCGGGAGCTCGAAGTCCGAGTTCGCATCTTCAAGCGACACCCCTCACTAATAAGAAGATACCAAGCCGTTTAGTGATCTTTCAGACAACATCTGGCCTCCCTTTTTGATTTATCTCGGTGCAATTCGATTCTTCCGGCTCGTTTGCGAAGTTGCTCAGATGAAAGTTTTGTGCGAGTTGGTAATGTTGTCAGTCAGGCATATATAAGTCGAGGTGTTGATCATCAATCTTTCCCGACCAGTCCTTAACAGTGAGTTATGGAGTGCCTCTCGTCTGTTGACCAACTTTTAAGTAAGTGCTCCATCTGGATGTTGGAGCTGGCATCCACTGGCTGCCCCATGCGGACTGTCACAGTTTTAGCGTAACCTGGGGAGTGGGCTATGTGCCAGGGTGCCTAGACAAACAACTCGAGTCTCTCGCTCTCCAAGCCGGGCATGGGCCGTAGGTACGCCTATATTATCGTTTCGAATACGGAGAACTATGGCTGGCATTGAAGTAGGCTCCCAGCATGAAAGCTCTATCTCAATTGCGGCCGACAGCTCCGACAGCTTTGAATTAAATACTCCGTATATGTGTATTTTGGAATCCATGCGAGAACAGAATCATGAGACCAAAATCTATTATACTTTTCTTCCATATATTGATATGAAGAACGAAAGACCAGGGGTGAGGTAGGGGTTGTTTTGGAAAGCCTGTCAGGCTACGGCATGGGTGTGTCCGTGACCCCCGAAGCCTTCAAAGCTGTGTAGGGAATAGGGTCCTTCCTGGAAGGCTGGCTGATAATGCCTCGGTTCACCTCCTGCTTCAATGTTAGCTTCTCCATATTTATGAACCTTTTTCGGAGCTTAGTTGTTCATCATTGTATGGTGTCTACTGCCGTCACAACCCAGAGAGCTGCTGAGACTGAATATGTCCCCAGTTTATTCGTCACACCGCGTCAAGGAATTATTGAATAATGACGGTGTTCACGTCATCAAGACTCCGTAGGCGGGTGTGAAGCCTGAAGTATGCACTTTATGGGACTATCAAGCACGTCTTAAAGTTTTTGCGCCCGTTCGATTTCACCTTCAGACTTCCTTAAATGCACGAATTTTCAACCCATGGAGGGCTACGGGGTTGGGCTCGCCAAATCCCATCTACCGTGTCGTTCATGTTAGCTGGGCCTTCGTCGCTCGATTATATTTTAAAGGGCCAGAAAAGAAACACATTAAGTCTATGGCGTTGCCAAATAAGCCGGACATATCCACTCACAGCCAGCCCCGTCACCCAGGTAGCTGTCAGTAATTTGGCCTGACATATTCAACTGCTAGATATCATCTGGTTAACGCCATTTACCTGGAATTGATTCCTACCGCCCCATGTTTTAAGGGTTAAGACTGCTTACCAGACATTGACATGGTAGACACGTTGAAGTACCGAGTAACGTATACTTCAAGTTTATCAGGTGTTTGTGTTTTGCTGACGGCCGTGGAATATACCCTTACTCCTGTTAATAAAACAGGGGACGCAGGACGCTGGGCTCAGGCGTGAGTCTTGCAGTCACTCCCATCAGGACCATGTACCGAAGATATATGGAAGTTTCCTGCCATAGGTAGTTCCTGGATAACAGATGATGATGATCATTATATCCTGTTTCTTGACTTCTCTTGTCGCAAAGAATCTGCTGCACGATATTTGATATTCCATGGCTCTAAGGGCATCATCTTATGGAGGTATTTCTAGTAACTCGGGGCTATTAGAATCGCGTTTCCAGGGCATTGAACAAGGGGTTCGTCGAAAGTTGGCGATGTTAAAGTACTCCCATAGAGGCGGTATTGAAGGCTTATTGGTACTCGGCTTCAGAACATCATAGGTATGATGTAACTAGGAGATATACAGAGAAGAAATATGCTGGTGACATTTAAAGGGTATCTTCATTTGAGTGAGTGGTTGACCAATGTTTCTCAGTAAGAAGGGGTATCATATTTCCAGCCATTTGACGAACTTTCAAGATGCTCGAAAAGCTCTGTCCGTTCTTTTGCCGGGACTGACCCAAGTTCAAGGTCAATGAAGCCGTTCAACGCCATAACATGGTCGACTGTGAAATAAGTAGAGACGACGTTGAAAGTCTTTAATCCTTCTGGAGGAAGCTACCCGTTTTTGTGCTTGCTTAGTCATCATCCACCACCTGTGGGTCCAAAAAGGGGAAATGCGAACTTCAACTCGTCTTCACCTCCTGAACCTGTCAGTTTCTCGGCATTCTGTGGCTTCACGTTATTCATACACCGATCTTGTCCTGATAGAATTCCTGTCTCAGATAGCGTGGCCACATTGCAGCCCTTTCTTACAGTGAGGAAGCTGGTGATAGAAGTGGCTTCAGCCCCCATGATTGCGCTTAGACAACCTCAGACAGACACGCAATCGACCTTAACCCATGATCCACATCCTTTAAAGCATCCTGAACCCAGGATCCGGGATGGGGAATTATATCATCTCCGGTCGAAAAAGCTGAAAGGATAATATGCCCAGCTCACAGCCACTCCAAGACCACGGAGCCTGCATGCACCAGCACGCTGTATCAGTTGATGGATAACACCGAGAAGAATAAGGTGGCTGATCCTCATCACGTCACCTGGCTTTCTGCTGAATTCCGACTCGATGTTGAGAGCCTCACCAAGCGGAGATATATGGACTCGATTCGTACGAGTGGTCGTGGCCATAGATCCCAGCATATGCCAAATACCAGCAAACAGGTACTCCGTAGAGCATCATTATTACCCTCGGAACAGATACTCCATAACCAACCTTGCAAACTACTGGGCAGATTTCCTCATGTCAAAGGCTTAGATGCACCGCCAGCTTTAAGGCTGCTTATACTTTTTGGCATCCTGAATGCATTGGTAATATCCAGAGGTGAACAGAGATACCAAACCAGAGGACTTGGTATGCCCGCCAAAAAATTTTTTTTCCCCTTAGCACAAGTTAGCTGTTTCATCCATTTGAATGGAACTTTCGCCGATCTCAAGGTTGAATTACCGCCATCCGCGCCTTTGATGCCGGTAAAAACATTCCGAAGTTGCTCTCCCGTGTCTTAGAAAATATGGCGATCCTCATGCCTCGCAACGTTTCTACTTGAGGTGAAGATCGGTCATACGCCCTACACATGTCCAAATCTTGCCTCTAGGTTTATGTCGAATTTGACATACAAACGGCACATACTCTGTACGGAGTGTGTTATTCTCGATCAGATTTAATGTCCCTTCCGCGGTTTTGCAGGGCAGCTATGAAGCTCAGATAATAACCGTCGCACCACCTCTCGGATGCTACAGCAAGTACTCTGTATATCAATAGAGGAATGACGATTGAAAATGCCATGCATAACTCTTCTCCACATTCCCATCTATCCTGCAAAACCCGCTCGTTCAAAGTGTGGTATGAATTCTTCTAGATAACTACCTGTTCAGGCTAGCTGTGGTACGGCTACTTTTCCAGACTTTTCTTTCAAGCCGATCTGTGGGTTTGATATGCCATAATGCTTGACTTCTGTGCTCCATGGCTCCAGTAATGCGGAGAAGATCACAAAATAAAGGCCACAAAATGTTTTCGCCAGCTAGATGGTGGATTGATTACATGGATCAGGATTGTGAGAACGAGATATAGAGACAATCTTTGAAGCTCTAGGGGCAGCCCAACACCTTGTACCCTGGTAAAAAATGATAGGAGAAGTGCATACATACCACGACTAAGTGGATATCTGGTTCGTTGTTCTCCGAATGAGGAAGTAATCCCTTTTCTATGGCCAGGCTAATGGTTATGCACCCGGAATTTCCCAACCTTTACGGAGTACTCCGTACCACTGCTGTGACTCGCGAAAATCTTAAGCACCTCACCTAGAATGGTGGCATGTCCTTGGAAAAGAAATGATATCCATCCCTTATGCAGGGCAGAGACAGACGTTGGGGCCTGCATTTGCGCAGACCACAAAACGACCAGTTGCCTTGTGTCTCGGTCGGTCTAAAATAAGATCATCCTCCTATTGTTTTCACAAGCTAGCGTTCGGAATGATACTCCGCCCTTGGACAGGGCGTTTGCTAACAAGAGGTAAGCCTTTCCCGGAACTTAAAGACTTCATACCCTGGTGAAGTTATATTACTTGTGGATCACATTGTACACATGGGTGCCGAGCAGCGAATTATATCCTCCAATTACATCGCCTTCTCCCTGTCCAAGCTATACCGTCCTTCTGATATGATATCATCCCGGGGATTTTGCTATTGCATGTTCGATACAAGTTAGCTCCAACTGCGAAGGGCTGGATGGAGCGTCAGCTCTTCCTTAGGATATATCCGAAGGGCGAGATTGTGTGCTCTGAAGAAGATATAAAAAGGAGGTTCTCACCACCACAACGAACGCCTTTTTCGAAAGCCAGACCAGTCAGTCCTTTCAGTCATTCCCTACATAGTCATTCATTACACTGTCATTCACTACATTCCCTACCTTTCCTTTCCCTTTTTTTTTTTTTAACTTATTCTGCCCTAAGCCTCTGTGCTTCTGAGCTCAAGATGCAATTCACTGCTCTTCTCGCCGCTCTCGGCGCCCCTCTGGCACTGGCTGCCTCTATCCCAGCTGCTGCTCACAACCACTCCATGATTGATGTCCAGCTGGCTGCTACTGGTAACTCTATGATCAAGGCCACTATTACCAACACTGGTGACCGTACCTTGAACTTGTTGAAGTTCAACACCATCATGGATGAGCACCCAACCCGCAAGGTTATGGTCTACCAAGATGGTAAGCCTCCTATATTATTGCCTGCTCATCGATGCATAATGCTAACTATATACAAAAGGTGCTGAGGTCCAGTTCACTGGAATGCTCCCCCGCTACAAGATGTCTGACCTCACCCCTGAGTACTTCGTCAACCTTGGCCCCAAAGCCAGTGTTGAGCACTCCTTTGATCTTGCTGCTACTCACGACCTGAGCCGTGGCGGAAAGATCGTTGTCAAGGCACACGGAATGGTCCCTACCGCTGAGGAGAACGCAACCACCATTACCGGTCACACTCTCTATGAGTCCAACGAGCTCACCATGGATGTTGATGGAAAGCAGGCCGCTGCTGTTGAACAGGCTATGGGCGGTGACGACTCCACCGGTGTTATTGACAAGCGCTCCAACATTGTCACCTCCAGCTGCCGCGGAAGCCAGCTTCGTGTCCTCCAAACTGCTCTCTCCAACTCTGCCCGCCTCTCCAGAGCTGCCGCTTCCGCTGCTCAGAGAAACCCCAGCAAGATGCGCGAGTACTTCAAGACCGCTGACAGCCGCACCGTCCAGAAGGTTGCCAGCCGTTTCTTGTCCGTCGCCCGCGAGTCCAGCTCTGGTTCTACTGGCCGTACCACCTACTACTGCAATGATAACAGAGGCGGTTGCCACCCTGGTGTCCTTGCCTACACCCTCCCATCCAAGAACCAGGTCTTCAACTGCCCCAGCTACTACCAGCTCCCTGCCCTTAACAACCGCTGCCACGGTCAGGACCAGGCCACCACCACTCTCCACGAGCTCACCCACAACCCTGCTGTTGTCACTCCTTTCTGCGAGGATCTCGGCTATGGTTACCAGCGTGTCTCTGCTCTCCCAGCCTCCAAGGCCATCCAGAACGCTGATACCTACTCCCTTTTCGCCAACGGTATGTAAACTCCATTCCTTTATCTGATGTAAAATTCATTATGACTAACTTTTATATAGCTATCTACCTTGGCTGCTAAAGGCTTTGCAATCTTACCTTAGGTATCAGCCCATGAACCATTACGGTTTCTTGATGGCTCTCATCTGCTTGAGTTTTTGAATCTAATTGTCGGGTCCGAGACCTATTTCTTTTTGTATATACACTGTACCTTGTACATAATAAAATATGGATGAACATATATTGCTATAATCCCAATATGATTCCTCGATATCTCCTTGTTTGCTATGTATTCTATTCCATGTAATCGATTTGCAATAGATAGGAGGTGGAGAAATCTAAAACTTGAGTTTAAATTCCTATCAATCGATGCATGGATAAGATCCGGGCAGTGGATGTTTAATAACGCAGCCCTACTTTGCCGAATTTGTACGAGCACGGAGTCGGAAGGGGAATTGATAGCTGATAGATCAGGTTAATGAGAAGTGAAGGGAGGATATCCATGTCTATATTTCAAGCATGTATCATAGCAAGCATTTGGTGTACCAAGACACCGGCCTATCTAATGTAGGCTAGACAAAGCCCTTCAAGATGGCACTTTCGGCCTATAATTTATTGAATAGACTTGTCAGCATTTATTCATGTACTGTAGGCGGGAAATGAAAACTCACATTCAAGATACTGCTACCGGATGCCCCGAGAACAGTATTGTGGCTAAGAGCAACGAATTGGATATCAAAGACGCCACTGTCATCTTCTCTGATTCGGCCTACAGTGCAGGCATATCCGCCTTCAGTCTCCCTATCAAGACGAGGCTGTGGTCGGTCTACTTCATCCATGACGTGAATGCTCTCTTTGGGAGCGGAGGGGCATCCTAATGTCTGGACTTCTGGCTTGTACTCCCGTAAAGCCTCACGTACTTGGCTTGCGGTAGGTGGAGGGCGGTTAACGAAACGGAGAGATGCACAGACGGTGTGACCATCAAGGACGGGGACACGGTTACAAGCAACAGAAATCTGAAGGGGTTTCTGGTCACTGAATCCAGCTAGATCGGAGTTAAGGTCTCCTAGAATCTTGCGTGCTTCACTAGATATTTTTCCTTCTTCACCGGGAATGTATGGAACGATATTATCAAATATATCCATGCCTGGTACAATGAGTTAGCACTTGCATGTTTGAGGCGATTGATAGGGTATACGTACTGCTGACACCAGGATAACCGGCTCCTGAGACAGCCTGCATGGTAACCATGCTCACTGACTCGATGGGTCCAAACTTCTGAATGAGAGCCTTCGCCGGGACAACCAATCCTACAACAGCGCAGTTGGAATTGCACACCAGCATTCCCTTATCAAGACCGAAATGCTTCCTCTGTGCGGGGATCACATCAATATGCCCCGCATTAACGAGGGGCACCACCAACGGTACCATGGGATCCAGTCGATAGTTCTTTGCATTGGAGAAAACGGCGAAATTCGCCTTGAGGAAGGCCATCTCAATCTCGCCCGCGGCATCTGGGTCCAGCCCGGAGAAAATAATATCGCAGTCTGAAAATTCGGCGGGGTCACAGCGACGGACAGTCAAGTCCGCCACCTTGGCGGGCATGGGAGCCGATTGCTTCCAACGAACGGCATCACAATATTTCTTGCCTGATGACCTGTCTGAGGCGCCTACTGCAACCAATTCGAGTAACGGATGCTGTGAGAGTAGGAGGATGAATCGCGTGCCTACCGCACCGGTTGCTCCAAGAACACCTAGAACATACAGTTAGTATAATAATTTTGCAATTGGGATAAGTGGCTTACCGCAGCGTTTCTTCGAAGGCGTGGCCATCTTAATAGCTTCTGTTCAGCCTTCAATTGCCAGATTCAATATCAATATCAAAATTGTTTCTTCCACATCTCAGCCCGATAGGCATCAAAACTGCCCGAAGTCGGCGGCATCCATGGATGACTCAACCTCAACGGGCAGGTACGGGCGAAACATTTTCCGAAAATGATTAGTAATTTCTTATATAATGTGCTTATATAATCTACATATTTCTTTTGGTCGTTTTCGTTTTTGTCTCCATGATTTTGAAGCTGATGGCGTCGTCAAGTCGAACGACTAAAGGCACCTTGAAGGCCAGCCCATCTGGTATTCTAATGTCTACTCCTGCTAAGCAAGGAAAAACCTGCAGAAATCCAATAGTGCAGAATTAAAAAGCAATCCACGTGGCTTTCCAGGCGCTGGTGATCATTAGTATTCCTTTTCGCCTAACGTGTTTTTACGAGCAAGCCTCAGAAGTCAATCAGGCTCGTCTTCGTATCCCTGGCCAATCCAAGAATCGATCGCCTGATCCAGATGGAATTGGGTATTTGGTCTGAAGACTTTTTCATGGGCGAACGGCGGCTTCTCTAGTCCACGGGCTGCATTGCGCTTTATTCCAAAAAAAGACAAGGCAGATGAGAAAATACCCATTCAAAAATTCTGGAGCTTGTTCCCTGTCGGCCTGATCTTTTTAAGAAGCCGACATGTTCTGAGGAAGCGGAGTATTGAAACTTCCCTAGCTACGGCAGGGATACTGCGAGGAAAAGAGCTCTATCCTTGTCAATAATCTATAATCCATGTCGGCCCACGCCGGCGACCCAAAAAAACGTTACAGAATGAAAAGATCTGTCAGCGCGGAATTCGAATCCGCTGTGTTGGAGAGGAACACCAAGTGGAAGGGACTTATTATTGCATTTTCCGCATTTGTTGACGGGCCGCCAAAAGGGTTGTCAACCTTAGACCCCCCTTTTCAAGCTCATTTACAGGGATAGATAGGGCGTGTTGGTGATTGAACATCTTCCATACCTATCCACTTCAGCCCGTCTTTGAAACCGACAAGCCTAAATAATATGAAGTTATGCTGCCTGGGCACGACAATAGTCGACGTCACGATAACGGGCAGGGCTCAAAATAAGCATAACCGCCGGCTGAGATTTAATGCCCTGATCGCTGGTACTGGGCGAGCTCAAGGCCTTAGCCCTATAGGGCTATTGCTCAGTTTGATCGGCATTGCTCTATACGACTGCAAAACGCATAGTGGACGCTTGTTTGCTTGGATAGTCAGTTGGACCTCGTGGTCGGTCCTTCATCGTACGTCATTTTCAACCAAGCTAAGCAAACAATATGTCGTACAGATACATATCTTGTGCACCGTCAGGCACCATTGCTTGAAGGAGATGAATCCCTGAGTCCATCGAGTTTATCACTATTTTCTAGCAAGTAACTAACTAGTTAATGAGCTTGCAGCATTTTGGTTCCATCCATGGAACCCGCTTGCCTGGGCATGGAGTTTCGTGTTCGTATTTGTACGGAGAAACCGTTGCATGCATCATACCGAGGCGCAGCAGTTGAGACTGGACTCCGCTATCCCGGTGTCTTTGTTTCTGCATGGATATCAGGAGAATAAATATGAGTGCTAAAGGGTAACAACCTAGGTCCCTGCGGTTTTCCTGAAAAGGGGCTTTTCCCTTTTTCCGCAGGGTAAAAATAGAGTTCTGTACCTTACTCACGTGATTCATAAGGCTCCAGCTAGCAAAGATGACATAACCGGTGGATCTAGCTGGGCTCCAGCGTCTATCAGGCTCGGAAAATCCATGGCGAGAAGCCGAAGGAAGGCATCTATATATTAATGTTATATATCTTGTAGAGTTAAATGACGTAAAAATGTAATAATACATGGTGGTGAAAGTATTAGGCTAATAATGAAGATCTATCATGCCTTGAACACGCGAGCCAGGAACTTGCCGAATACGCCGCGAACCAAATGTGGATTTTCATGTATGCAGGCAACGAGAATAGCGGTGCTGAGAGAGAAAGCCAGCCTCTCTCTCCATTGATACTACGATGAGTTAGTATTAAAGGGAACGTATTTGCAGGGATTTTAAGGATGTACCTTTCTATCATATTCCCGGGGAAGCAATGTAGCCAGTGCTCTGGGAGCAACGAACAAGCTAATCTCTTGTCTTCTCCCTGGTGATTCCACGAAGATGCTCCATCCACACATTGCGCAACCGGCGGCGATGCAGAGACCAGAATCCCACATCATAGGCGTGACTGTCTTTGAGCTAAACAGCCTAGGTCCCAGCCTTGTACGCGCCAAACATACGGAATAATAAAACAGGCTAACGAAAAGGCCGAGGAATGTGGATGAACGTAGCGCGCTCTTGATAGCATGGATGTATGTTTTGAGATTGCGGGATCGACAACGCATCACGATCTGGAGTGGAATGTACGTGGCGCAAGCAAACTTGAAAGCTCTAGCAAATCGCCAGATGGCTGTTTTTTCACAGTTCGGACCACAACCCATGTGCACAATCTCGCAGGGAATTGGAACTGTCTTTTGGGGAGTGCCCCATTCAATTGGCCATCCATAGTCTGCACACATGGATTCGAGGACCACTTGATCGCCGTTGTCGCGGCCGTAGGCCCACTCACCTCTGCGGGCAGTCCGGAGGGCTTCAAGGATGCGGCTATCAAGCTGGGCAGCTTCGCTGATCCATTTGCCATAGGAGTAAGGAAGTCGTTCGGGGAGGTAGAACCAAGCCCACATCACAATAGCGGAGCTGATAGCGAAGAGGCCAGTATCTGCGAGTTTGGGGGCAAGGGAGTGCACCCGTTGCCCGGTCTTGCTTTTGCCATGCGCGGCGCGTGGGGAGGTTTTCCACTGAGACCATAACAGGTTGACTATAGCATCTGCAGCCCTAGTTGTCGCAAAGAGAGTCAAGTCTAGGGTGCGACCAGCAAGGTGGTGCTTGTCGTTGTCGTCAAAGTCGTTGCCGCCGCCATTGCCGTTGCTGTTGCCGTAGTCCTTATTCTTCTTGGCCACGCTCGATTGATAGGAGTAAGCGTGCTTGTCGAGTCCCGCACGCCGGCCGTACGGATGTTTTGCTGTACGATTGAGGATTGGAAAGCAGATCAGGGCGGACAAGAAGGCCGCTAGGAACCGCAACGGCCGGTTCGACGAAAGTGGAATACCAGTCGTGGGCAGGGATTGGAGATACCCACTGGAGGCGAATCTTAATCTGACAACTTCCAGGGCACGAGGCAGGATGGAGGAGCCCCCCGCCAGCAGAGCACAGAAAACTGGAAAGCGGTCCCATTTAAAACCACAATGCAAGATGCGGATCAACTACAGTAATGACATGTCAATAACAAACTTGTTCCAAACTAGCAGTGTCAGATGATGTTCCTTTACCCGCTGTAGCTTCTCTGCGGCGCCAACGTCTCTCCGCCGCAGAATTTTCAAAAGAGAGATCAGTTTCGGCAGGGTGGTGGTGAGATATCCAAGCGCAAACGCCCGAGCAACCCTGTCCAAAGAACACCCATGTTAGAAGAAAGCAGAGGCGGCTGAGAGACAAGGACAAGAGAGACAGGGAATATATAGGAGCGGGTTCGGCGCAGTAGTGCATACGGTTTCAAGATGCGTAGACGGTCGAACGCGACCTTGGAACGCTGCGTCGACATAGCTCTCGACCGAAACCACCAAAGCCCGAGTCGAAGCCAAAGTTAACGTTTCCGCCCGGGGTCCTCTGGAGCAGCAGCAGCAGCAGCAGCAGCAGCAACAAGGACGAGGAGGGCCGTGGTCGACACGCGAGAGGGGGGGGGAGACCCCCATGAAGTACCGGCGCGCTAAAGGAAGAGTCGGCCCTTAAAAAGAGGTCGATGATCTGATCACGGATGTCGGAAGGTGTCCGCTTGCGGGGCAGGATCGCATTATTGGTCGCTGCCAACCTCTGCCAGCCGGTCTTCCAGCGTCGTCGTCGTGTCCACGGTGGCAGCACTTGCAGCGGGCGCCGTCGTCGCTGGCGGTCAATCGAGCGTTGTCGAGGTGGTTGTTGCTGGCGAGAGTCGCTAACTAGCGAGCGCGCGAACTGGAGGTACAGGCGAGGTACAAGCACGTGAAGGGCGAGCCGCGGTTAGATTTTAGCCGCCAAGCCAAGCCTGCAAGTAACTTCCTTGTAGCTGCTTTTCTTTTCCGCTCGACACTCGACGCTGGACGGACGACCCGTGGACGACGGACGACGGACGACGCGACCAGCGCTGAGGAGGCCGCCCGCTGGGCAGCAAAAAGAGAAGCCAGAGGGAGAGGAAAAACCTCCGAGGCCGGGATCAGGGAAGTTCGCTGACGGGCCCTCGACTCTTCAGCGTCTGCGCCTGCAGCTGGCTGGGGAGCTCTCGCTGCTACGGAGTAACTATTCGTGTTGTCTTCGTTCTATGGTGTGGTCGAGGTGTGTAACTAACACAATAATGATAAAATGATAATTCAGGCTACAGACATAGCTAACGCCACCCCAGCAGGATACCTCCCTATGTAACTGCAAAGATGGGCAAGTAAGCTCGTACAAGCCATCAAGGAACCCTTCCGAACTGCATCTCATCTCAACTCGCCTACCGAGCCGATCCTGGTCGCTGCGGGTCTCTAATTTTGAAAAGAATTAGTTAAGGGTTCGGGCTCTGCACACAAGCTGGGGAAAGACAGAATATCTCTATATACGTGTTGTAGCAGTCCGTACGGAGTTTATGGGGATGACATCTTTGTCCATCCTGATAGGCCTTGGGCCAACACGACGAAGAGAATCCCAGTCGGTTGCGGGCCGCTGGAACGAGACAGTGACCACCAGCTTCGTACGCAATCTACTGGAGAGCATCTAGTCCCATCCTGCAGCAAAACTCAGGTAAACTAATTATGGGAATATGGTGGGAAAAAAAAAAATACAAAATACAAAAAAAATACAAAAATACAAAGCCAGAAGCAAAGATCGATCGAGGCAAACTCGATGACGCTCACTCGTTTATTTTTTTTTATTTTTTATTTTTTTGTACTGCTTTCTTTTCCTTTTTTGCTATTCGTCTTTGCTCCATGCAGCGTGCAGAAAAGTATGGAGTATACGTGCTAATGCTTGCTTCTTCCCTAGAAGGTACCCCCTTTTTACCCTTTTCGGGCCCTCTTGATGGATCAGGAAATACCGCCATGCGACGAGCCAGACGCCAAAGTTGAGACCCTGTTTTTTTTGTTTTTGGCCGTCTTGTCCACTCT